CCACGCAACACACGCACACACACTCTGTCTCCCTACCTGCGACATGAGCATGTACTTCCAGGAAGCCACGCTGCTCAGCTCCAGGTGCAGCTCCAGCTCGGCCAGGCTCTCGTTCACAGGCACCTGCGGCACGCAGGGAGGAGCGGGGCGGGCTGGGGCGCTCGTCGCGCCCGACACGCTGGCGGACCGGCAGGCAGCCCGCCGCAGCCACCCCTGCCACTCCACCCCTTCCACTCCACCCTGCCCCGCACCCACCAGGTAGTCGCGCAGCAGCCAGAAGTTGTTGAACCAGATGTGCGGCGCGTAGGTGAGGGTGGCGGGGTCCACGTCAGCAAGGTCCTTGTACTGCGGCGGTACCGCTCGCTCGTTGAACTTGCTGCGGGGCCGGGCGGCGGGGGCAAGGGCAAAGCGGCCACGGCGTCAAGGGTGGTCAAGGGTGGGGCGACCAGAAAACTCGGCACCTGGCTCGCCTGCCTGACCGGCGCCGGTCACACAGCAGTCGCCACGCCTCCAACTCACCCCTGCCCACCCCATACACACACATGCCCCACCCCCCACCTGAAGTCGTCCACCATCTGCAGGGTGATGTTGGGGTGGAGGTAGGAGATGATGATCGTCTCGTTGCCCAGAGCCATGTCGTCCGGCATGGCGGCGTCGTCTGGCGGTGATGGCGGGGGCGGTGGTGGAGTGGAGGTGGGGTGGGGTGGGAAGGATGGGAGCCGTCAGTGGCAGGGCGCCGCATGCCGCTGGGCAGGCACTGCTGAGGGTGGGTGCCGAGGCGGGGCACACGCCCAGCCTCTGTCGTGCCGTCGGCCCACCCAGATGCAGCCCTGCCCACCTGTGCTGTTCTTTCCAGACAGCAGGTTGACCCCCTCCTTGGCCGCCCGCTTTTTGAGGTAGCGGTTGAGCGGCTGGGTGCGGGCAAAGGTGGCGGTGTGGTCGAAAAAGTCGTCTGCAGGCGAGCAGGAGTGGCGGCAGGCAGGGGCACGATGAGCGGAGGCAGGCTGGATGAGGGACGAGCAAGCATGCCACTCCCCGCTGGTGCGGCAGGCACGCCGGGGGAGCGGGGCAGCCTGCCGGCTCGCCTTCGGGGTTAGGGGAGGCGCCTGGTGGGGTGAACACGGCATGCACATATACGCTGCCGTTGTTTTGGACGGCCTGCAGGCAGGCGGCCGCGGGACGGCGCCGCCGCCGCAGCACACACAGCAAATGCATCAGGCGCGCCTGGTGGCGGCGTGGGCTCGCAACACACAGCCACCGCCGCTGCGCCACAGCCCGCGGCAGCTCCACCATCCCAACACCAACCAACACCATGACACCCCACCGGGCCCCCCCTCAGCCCCCTGCCTGCCTGCCTGCCTGCCCCTGCCAGAGCACCCTGCCCGCCCACCTTGGATGGGCGGTACACAAAGGTGGCCTCCCGCTTCACATCCGGCTCCGCCAGCGCCACGTCGGCGGCCAGCCACACCGGCTGCGCCTGCGCCGCCACCGCCTGCCAGCTGGCTTCCTCAGAGATGAACAGGTGCATGTCGAGAGGGTGGCCCCGCGGCAGGCGGGGGGACACAATCTGCAGGCAGGAGGGTGGGGATTGGGGGGGCCCGAGGCGGGCAGGGGCGGGGTTACACAGGGGGCAGTGACGAGGGGCGGGGGACTTCGGCGGTCGGGCAGGCAGGAGGCGAGCAGTCAGTCGCAGGCGGCCCTGCGCTCACACCCAGCCCTCCTGCAGCGCACCCTGGCTTCCTTGCCGTCCGCCTGCTGCGCCCCCTTGTTGCCGCCTCCTGTGAACATCTTCATCGCGTAATACCTGCAGGGCCACGATGCAGGCAGGACGGCGCACGCACCAGGGGAAGGGCAGGCGGCTCAGGAGCAGGCGCCGGCGTGGGCTGCATTCATCAGCTCGGGCATCCGGCTGCTGATGCGGCGGCAGTGATGCGCGCAGGCTCACATCATGACCATTCGGATTATTGACTGCACACACGCAGGGGGGGCAGCAGCGGGCAAGAGGGGAGGGGCAGGGGTGAGGAGGGTGGCCAGCCAGGGGCTGTGTCATAAAGCGGCGAGGCTGGAATGGCTGCGCACGGCGCTGCAGCTTCCTGAGGGGCGTGCAGGCTCCATGCCGCTGCGCTGGTGGCGCCCAGCAATGAGCAGGGCCCCTCACCTGAAAGAAGCCGCCACCGCGCTGTTGCGGCTGCCCGTCGGCGGCGGCGCCAGCGGCGCCTACCGCAGCCTCGGCCGGAGGCATTGTCTGCGATGTATGCTGTGTATCCTGCATTCACCAGGGGCAGCTTCTATCAGAGAAAGGCAGCCCAGTGCAGTAGCCTGCAAGCCAGGGCCCAGCTACATGAGCACGATCAGAGGTTGGGCACCCCGTCTCCTGTCCCTGGCGTATATAAATGAACTGGCAACGCATGCAGGCACTGCAGAGCCGGACACAAGGGCCCATGCGGGGCTCCAGAAGAGCCCACCTGCCTGCAGCCGCCTCACGCAGCAATGCAAGTCGTTTGGACACCCAGGTACCGAGTGGGGATTGCCCAGCGCTGAAACAGAGGCAACAGAGTGCTGTGCAGGTGTGGAGGTGGCCCCCGACTTTCCAACGCGGCCAGCGGCCAAAACAGAGCCCTGCCCGGTGCGATGGGCTTAGTGTGCACCATGGGGGGGTTGCCGGTGCCCAAGGCAAGTTGTAGCTGAGTTATGGGGGGTGTGCTTGCTGCTCCGCACTGAACCCAGTTGCTTCGCACTGCCGCTGCTGCTGCAATGGTGCATATTAGCTGCAATTGGCTGTGGAACAAACGCCAGAGGTGGGGGACGATGCGACAGTCACGCCGCCGCCGCTGCCACCGCCACCGCGCTTCTCCTGTTTGTATCGTGTGTTTGTTTTGTTTTGTTTTGATCTCAGTCATGTTTGGCTTGCCTCCCTTGCCGCTCCTGGTGGTGCAGCCCTTCCATCTGAAGTTGTTTCTGTCAAACAAGTACATTTACGGACAGATATGGCGCGCGGCAGACCAGCACGTCGTGGCGGCGGCCAGCACCATAGAGGCACCCGTGCGGGAGGCGCTCAAGGAGGCGGGTGCCTCAGCATCCTGCTCGCAGGCAGCCAGCAGGTGGGGCGGACAGCCGAGCTGTGAGGAAGCTGGCTGACCCGGGTGGGCGTGGCCGGGCCAGGCGTCCCAACCGTTGCCCGCGTGCCCTGCTCCTGCAGGGTGGGCCAGCTGCTTGCAGAGCGTGCGCAGAAAGCGGGGGTCAGCGGCGTGACGTGGCCACGGCGGCGGGGCGAGTCGTATCACGGCAAGCGCAAGGCGCTGCTTGATGCCATGCGGGAGGCGGGGCTGCCGCTGATCTGACCACGGCTTGAAGATACACGTACACATGCCACAGCATTGTTTTGCGTTGTTGGACAGCTGCTGCTTCTAGCTGGTGCGCATGGGGGGAGCCCTGCACCCTGTGCTCCCGCGCAGCCTGCCATGTTTCCTGAGCTGCTGCCCCTTGCTCGCTGCCGGCCAAGGTGTGTTTCCTGCTTGCTGCCCGCTCTCTGTTGCCCGCCACATCCTGCTGTCCCATTGACCACATTCTTCTGTTGAGGGTGATCCCACCGCCTCTTTGACCATGCGTACCATCACACTGTATCATGCCATGTGTCAAATTTATGCAAGTTTGGTCGGTCAGTGTTGCTGTCGTGCGTCGGTCAGTGGTGTGCCAGTCAGCGGCGGGACGGAGCGCGCCCTCACTTCTTGCCCAACACCTTTCGACAGTCTTTGCAGTACCATTTGCCTGCAGCACAGCAGGGCAGGCGGGCGGCAGCGTCGACCCAACAGTTGCGGATGGGGGAGACAGCAATGACATGTGGCGCGGTGGCGCCTGCCCCAAGCAGCGCACCCTTTGGCCGGTTCTCCTCTGTGAGCCCCACGCAGTCAAAGTGGAACCACTCGTAGGGGCAGTCTGCAGGCAGAGAGGCGGGGCAGGCGCGTGTGGCTGCTCCGCCTTGCAGCCGCTTGCTGCCGCCATCGACACACGCAGGGCACGGCCAGGCAGCCAGGGGGCCAGGCCCGCACCCACCCGGGTTCTCGCAGGCAATCATCTCCCCGAACGAGATGCGCTGGCAGTGGCAGTACTTGGGCTCGCTGGGGTCCGCCATGGCCAGCGCTTGCTGCGAGGCAGGCAGGAGGGTCGGCAGGTGCACAGGCAGCAGGTGGGTGGGTGGACGGGCAGCAGGGACCCGCAGCGCACGTGCCGGCCAGCACTCTGGCACCACCACCCTGCCACCACCACCCCGCAGCTGCCCCCCTGCCGCACACCTGGTACTGCTCCTCGGGCGTCAGCTTGCGCTGCTCGCCGTCCTTGCGCTTGCGCTTGCCGCTGTCCACCCCGCTGCTGGCGCCGCCAATGGTGGGCTCCACAGGGGGCATGCCCAGCCGCTGCCGCTCCTTGGCTATCTCTGCAGCGGGAGCGACGGACGGCGAGGGGGCGAGTGGGAGGGCAGGCAGGAAGGTTGAAAGTGGCTGCCTGCCTGCTGCCGCTCGCGTTAACAATGGCACACGGGGGCGAGAAGGCAGCGGCAGCCTGCGCCCCGTGCCTGCGTCGAATGCCTTGCAGTCTTTATCCAGCTTGGTGATGTGGCGGTCGATGTAGTCGTAGATCTGTGGGGGAGGGAGCGGGGTGAGGCAGGAGGCAGGGGAGGGCCACTCAAGACACCATGCAGGCCAGGCCAGGCCCTCGCCCTCACCTGCGTGGCTATGTTGAGCTTCTCGTCGCTCAGCTTCACCAGCTCGTTCATGTTGCCCTCGATGCGCTCGGCGCACTCGCGCTCCGCCGCCGCCGCCGCCGCCGCGCCGCTGGCAGCCGCCTTCTGCCGCTTGGTGGGCGAGTGCAGCGGCTCTGCGGCGGGGCAGCGTGGCGTGGCAGCAGCGACGCAACCATTGGGTGCTGCGGGAATCGTTGGTGGCAAGGAGAGCCACTCCTTGACGACGGCGACACCCGCCGCCGCCAGATGCAGCCTGCAGCCTGCCGTACGTGGGGATCCACTGGCCTGACAGCCCCCTGCACTCCCCCCAACCCATCCCAAGGCTTGCCTTGTTGCCGCTCAGCTGAAACCTTGAGCTGCTGCAACATGTCGGTGTCAACCTGCTGCTGTAGGCGGTAGGACCGCTCGTCCAGCTCCCGCATGAGCCCAAACTGGCGCTGCAGCTCCAGCGGCACATCCGCCACGCCTGCAGGGCGCAGGACAAGCGGTGGGAGGGCTCAGAGGGCCCCACAGCGGCCGCCGGGCGGGGCCAAACCCGCGATGGTAACAACGCTTCGGGGAGCTTGAGAGCGCTCTGAGGGCACGCCCACGTTGCCTGCGAACCACTGCTTACTCTCTATGTAGCTCCGCAAGTAGCTAGCCATGGGGCACCCTTCGCGCACAAAGAGGGAGGGTGTGGAGGTGCGCGGGGGCAATTAGCGAATGATGTTGCAACCCTCAAACTGCCAGCGCGCTGCCCGATGGGCTGTTGACCACGCAATGGCGGGGGCGCCAGGTAGGCCGCCGCACGGCTGCCGCCAGGCCACACATGCGTTGCCCCTGGTTACAAGGCAGCTGTCCCGTTGCTCAGCAGAACAGGAAAGTGCTGGTCTTGCGGTTCTTGAGCATCTTGGCGCTGCGGGCGGTGCCCACCACGCGCTCCAGCCGCAGCGCATCCACCTTGCTGAACACCACAGTGACGGTGGGCATCTCCCCGCCCTCCCCCTCCTCCATCAGATTCAGCAGCTCCGAGTAAAAGTGGGCGTGCTCCGGCAGCTGGTAGAACAGAATGTGCTGCGGGCGAGCGGAGGGAGGGCGAAAGAGCCGCGTGAACGGCGCGCCCTTCAGGCCAGGCAGCTCGACGGCGCCGGCACGCGCAGCGCACGGCATGGGCTGTGCTGGCCGCGCTGTGCGCGCTGCGCGCGCGCCCCACCTTGGCGCCCCTGATGCGGTGCCGGTTGTAGAACTGCGCCCGCTCGGTGTACAGCAGCACCTGCGGGGCAGGCGGCCAGGTGGCGAGTTGCGGCAGGTGGCGCAGTGGCCGTCCGGCGTCCCTCTCAGGGCTCCCGCGCCGCCGGCTGCGCCTGGGCGGCGGCCAAGCCCCGGCCCATCGCGCCACGTCCTTTCACACACACACACACACGCCCACCTGCTTGCGCCTGTCGAAGAAGTATGAGCGTGCGCGCGCCGCGTCTGGTTGCTCTGTGTACTCGCACAGGCCCAGGAAGGAAGCCATGTCGGCACGCAGGAAGTTGCGCACCCTGCGGGGGGTTGGGGGGATGTGTGTGTGGTTGGGAGGGGTGAGCACCGGGTGCTGCTGGCAACGCTGCCGGGCCTCAGGCGAGCTCCCGTCGCACCTAGGCCCCCTTGCATGCCCCCACCCCACCCCACCGCATCCCACCACACACACGCACACACACACACGCGCGCGCTCACACACACACAAACACTGCGTGCCTGACGTAGTCGAAGTAGGAGGGGAGGTAGATGAGGTGGCCGCCGCTGCGCCCGCTCTCACGCATGCGCGGCCACAGGCTGCGCCTGAAGTGCTCAAACCGCGCATCCGCGTCTGCTGGGGGGGAGGGGCGGGCGGCAAAGTGGCGGCAGGTGGGGCACAGCTGCCGCTCTGGGGCACACCCCGGCCAGGCCCTGCCAGCCCTGCAAAGGCCTGGCATGCACGCCGCGGCTAGCAGCCACATGCACAGGAATACTGGTCCACAGCCCATGCACAGGCGCGCACCTGTCGCCGCGCAGCCGTCCGGCCCCGCCGCCACCGTGGCGGGCAGGCGCTCAAAGACTTGGCGCGCCTGCGGGATGACGCGGGACAGCACGCCGCGGCAGGAGGGGTGCACCCGCACCCGCCCCGCGTGGTTGCGGCAGGTGCGCGCCAGCAGGGCATTCATCTCAGCAGAGGCAAAGCTGGACAGCAGGACGGTTTGGCGGTACAGCGCGCCGCGGCCGCTGCAGGGGGGGCAGGGGGCAGGGCGGCGGTGT